CAGCCGGCGAGGTGGCTCCCGCCCCGCACCTCCCGCCTCCCCTCCCTGGTCGGGTCCCAGTCGGGCGCCGGGCCGGCAGCGGGATGAGGCGTGGACGTCCCAATTAGGCAGATCTCAGCTCTGCCTAGGTGGGTGAAGTGTGTCTCGGTTATGAGGACCCTCATTCCGCCCACAGAGGGGCCGGAAGTCTTCTGGGGTCACACGCAAGACAGCCGGAACTGGATGCCTAAGAGTGAGAGGGGTGACCCAAGGATGATGGATTTACTGGAAGGAGTCAGCTTAACAGTGTGGGGTATAGAGTGAGAAGGTCTGTCATCACCGTCTGGCTCTCCCTTGTGTGCCCTGGGCCAAGGTACGGAGCCTTTCAGAACCTCAGCTGCCTCCTTATAAAATGGGAGCAATTGTACCTGCTTCACAGCGCTGTCGCGTGAGAATTAAATAGGTTAATTCAAGTAAAACTCTTCCGTGGTCCCTACACACAGTCCTGTTTCCCATCAGCGTTGTTACTGCTGCACTATGAGATAAGGAGCCGTAACATACTTGATTGCCAGGCGATCCTACAAGGGCCAGGGGAACCCCACAAGTGCATCAGCTATCCCAGTGCCCTCAGAGTATGTGAGTCTGCTGGAGGCACTGTGAGAGATATGGAATTGTGTATGTGAGCCTCCTGCCCATAGGGGTTTGCATCTTAAAACTATGAGGGAACGTCTAATTTCTCTCTCTCTCTCTAAATGATAACTTATTTTTCCTTTGAATCAGTTTCTCTTAAAAGATTTTAGGTATCTCTAAGATGCAGGCATATCTGCAACTGCCTTGTAGGAACCACGTAAACAAACCCCTTTCATAAAGCCACACTGCAGTAGATGAACCAGTCTGTGGACTACTCACTCAAATGCTTTCAGAAGGGAGGAGCTTGCAGGTTCATAAAGTGTTAAGATCTGGTGGACTTAGACATGTGTTGGAGGAGGAAGGACTCAGTGAAAATTTATCAGAAGCAAAATAATGGGTCCTAGACTTGAAGGGGTGCCTGCAGCTTGTTCAGAATGTGAAACATAGTAGGCTCGCAGAAGGTATTGCTGAATACAGTGCACCTGATACTCACTAAACATATCAAATCCCCTTGTGTGAACTGGATTTGAAGAATCACTTTTTCTGAGAGGAAAATACTATTTTTGAAACAAAATTACAAAAAAAAAAAAAGCAGAATCTGAACTGGAAAAATATTTTGGAGCCAAAATTCAATATTCCAATAATTAAATAGAAACTTTACCTAATGCTGCTGCTGCATACGGATGGCAGTATTGTAACATTGTAGTGTTACATGGTTGAATCTCATGTGCCTCGCTCTCCAAGAGTTGGTTCTGCTTGCCCATTCCCTCATTTCTTACTTTTCTTTGCCAATTTTATTTATGTTCAATTAATTCCAAAGTGATGACTTAGATGTTCTGCTTATTGCTTTTTCTATATTTCTCTACCTCCTCCATTCACCAAAGCAGGCTTGACTCAGAGTTGGGACTTTTCTAGAATTGTTTTGCCCAACAACTGTTTATCAAAGTAAATAGAAGACATTAATCCTTACGGAAATTCTTAATATTAATTATCAGGAAAGTCATTCCCATAGTGCTACAGTGGGCTTAAGCAGTGACTGAACATCTGGCATTAGGGCTTCTTTCCTTATCATTCTTTGTCCTCTCGTCATATTTACATTTCCAGTGGGATTAGGAAGACATTTGCAATAGTTATCACAAGTAGTTTGCTCATTTTTTCAGACAGTGGAGATAGGAGGCCGAAAGGAAAGTGAAATTAACATGGTTTTAGCAGGCTAGCTTAGATTATAGATTTATTTGTAAAGTGATAGGTATCTGTGAAGAACTGTCACTAAAGCCTAAGTTAAAAAATACTCAAGAGACCCATCTAGATTTGTTGTATTTAGCATGGAGCTTAAAGGAGGACAATTCACTTACAAATTTTTATTGAGTACCTCCCCCATGAACTGGGTCTGTTCAGGGTTCCTGTTTTGATGAAATTCTTGTCTATTTCACCATTTTAATACATAAGATTTTTTTGAGATGAGCTATAAAAATGAATTTGTTTATCCTATTACTAAATGCTTAGAAAATGTTAGCTACCATTGTTCTCAAGGAGTTTAAACCAGAGTGATTACCATAGCAAATAGTATCCTGTCTCCACTAACTGGGGGAGATCTACCAGAAAAGGGAGAAGAGAGGAGGCAGGTGGGAGCTAAGTGACTGAGCACACTCGATTTTGTTAATTGCCCTATAACCCAGGGAACTAAAAAATTTCATAATAAATCCCAGACTGGTGCGTTTATTTTCTGTTATCATAGAAGACATGATAAGAAGGTTGATTTTCTGATGGTTATTAATATATATGAAGAATAACAACATGATAATAGATTATCATATATTGGTAGCATAGTTTATACCTATTTGATTCTTCACCTTTCTCAGCATAGAGAAAGAAGGTTGTTTTTCTATTTCCTTGAAAATTGTATGTGAATGCTTTTATGAATAAAAAATCTGTTTTCCCTTCAGTTTTTAATTTTTTTCCAAATTGCAAATGTGTCATTTATTCCCCCTGTGTAGTTTGCATACAACTTTAGGCAAGGTCTGTTCAAATGACCTTTTGCAAATTGGTTATTAATGAAAATAATGACTTTTTGTTTTTTTACCATTATGGTTTAAAATATTTAAAGCATTTGGATTAGATGAGAGTTTCTCAACCTCAAGACTATTTACATTTTGAACTAGATCATTTTTCTTTGTTGTGGGGAGCTGTTTTGTGTGCTGCAAGATGTTTCGTATCATCCTTGGCTTCTACCCATTAGATACCAATGGTGCTCCCCAGTTGTGACAACCAAAGATGTTTTCAGACATTGTCAAATGTCTCCTGGGACAAAATTGCCTTTTCCCTCCTTTATTGGGCTGAGAACCATTGGGTAAGATATTCTTGAAACAGTTTTTCATGTGAATGGGAAAAGTTAAGCTCTAGCTGTCCATTTACACACTCATGTGCAATTCTCAGAATTGTAATACCAATTTATTAGAAACTCCAGGGGCTTTTAAAAATTTAACTTAAGGATATTTGTTTTCCCTGTAAATTTTTCAGAAGTCATTATCATCAATTAAACTGCAGATTTTCAATACAAAGCTGGTATTATTTGAGGGATGCACATATACCCCAAAAAGAAGCAACTACTAGGCCCTGTCTACCTTGCAGCCTCCTACATTTTCCTTACAAAGTCTAGGACTGTTTGAATAATTATAGCTGGAAAAATGAGAATTGGGGACTTCTTGATTCCATCTTAGAAATGTAAAATTTAGTAATTTTTGACAGTCTTCAGCAACTGTATAGCTTTTGCAAGTTTTAGGTGGCCTTAGCTGAGAAGTCCATGAATTTGTTAGTGGAACAGCTAGGCTGTTGCTTACCCAGTCCTTTAAGCATCCCTTCCCAAACTTGCTTGCTGTCAACAAGGTAAAAGCCTGAGAAATTTGGAAACACTTGCCATGTCTTTCAGGAGTCATTCTTTTTGTGGATAGTGGGCTTTGCATAAATTGTTTCTTGCATAACTTCCTGTTCCCTACTCAGGTCTTCAACTGTGTATCTTTTCCTGCCCCTCCCCCCAATTATCTCCTTCCCAATGCATAGGACAGCCTCCTACAAAAAAGTTTAAAAGATTAGATAAAAACGTCTGTTATTGAAGTTATTCAGTAGTCAACTTTTGTGGACTGGTGCCAGGGTTACATGGCATTTAATGGAAGTGTGTTCATTTTTTTCTTATCTATCACTTTCTTTTTGTCCACGTTTTGGGCAAAATTAACCTTGTGCCAATGAACCAGGAAATTTTCATTAACATTAAGACAGACGCAGTAGCTTGTTTGTAATTGGTGCCAGCCTAACCTTCTGGCTGTTTCAAATAGCACCTCCTCTGGCTAAAATCCTCTTTTCATACACAGGAATTTCCAGAATTAACTTTTGTTTGGGAATACTTGGCTATTAGAAATAGAATAGGAAGAAAGTACACTCCTGAAAAGTCTATATTTATGATTAGAGCTGAGAGGATAGGTCATTCCATTCTCATTCAAAACAATGCATGACAATTAATTTTAGATTTATTTTATCCTGTTTTCCATAAGTAAAGGATGTTCCTGTTTAATCTTTTGAGTATCCCATTGATTTCTGGAATACTGTATGTATAAATAAGACATCTCCCCAGGACTTTAAATTTTATCTTTCCAGAACATGAAATAGGCACTAATTAAATGTTGATGAGCACTAACTTTCAAATTAAACTCTTCATGAGTACAACTTCCTCTGCATTCAAATGGGAACATATTTCTGCAAAGCTGCACAGTTACCTGTTTTTCAAATGCTGACTGAAATGTGCACAG